CACAAACACATTCAGCTGCATGCAGGTAGCTCATTACAAACACTATTACGTGGCTATGTATACTTGTGTCTGTCTATAAAATACATGAGTATACATCACGTATACATGAAGTTGAGACTTTTAAAAGCCTGGTTGCTTGCAAAACATCAATGGGGAAATTAATGACTACATATCAGTATAAAGGCATGTATGTACTTAGGCATGCATGTAGACAGGATATAGCTGGTGGTGAAATAACATTTGGGGAATCTGGGTGAGGAAGAATTCTTTGTACTATTTTTGCAACTTTTCTGTCATAAGTTATTTCAAAATTAAAATTTAAAATGTAATGAGGTCAGCCAACAGGACATGGGACTCAGTTTTGAAGAGCTTCCCTGACTAAAGTTTTGGCAAGTCAAGTCTCAAAAAGAGGAATGAAAACATCAGAGAGATAAGGTGTGATGCCACCTGAAGCAGGTATGAAACCAATACCACACTTTTAGCCCTGACCACTAAAGGGAAAGAACAAGGTACGGGGCTGCCTTTTGGCTGAGGCTTACCTCAAGGCCACCAAACAGCCCTGGCTGACACATGGGAGCTCTCACTGACAGCAAAGTGCCAGCACATGATGGCAACAGGACAAATTAAGGAAATCACTCTTCCCCAAACACTCAAGAATTCTTGCTCATGGCCAGGATTGTCAACTGAGGCCAACAGCATGAAAATGGTGGATGTAATACCCCAAAGGAAGCCCACATGGACAACTTCCTCTTCACAGGGAAGAAAATGTGACTGTGTGATGGAGGCCTGGACTGTCATCACCCTAACCGGTGGTCAAGTTTAGTATCATTGGCCAGGTGTGGTGGCTCACACCTATAATCCCAGCACTTTGGGAGGCTGAAGATGGAGGACTGCTTGAGCCCAGGAGTTTGAGACCGGCATGGGCAACATAGCGAAACCCTGCCTCTAAAAAATATTTTAAAAATAAAAATAAAAATTTTGCATCACCGGCAGTGGGTTAAAAAGATATGAAATGTCCTTTGGTGTGAATAGGAAAGACACAATATCACTTAAATGCATTACAACCAAAAGATGCACGAGAACCTAGCAAAGCTTTAGCTGTACCTTCCAGACTCCAGGAAATCCTGGGGACAGGGAGCAGGTCAGGGCAAACTCTTAGAAGCAGCCACACAAAGCTGGAGGGTGCACATCCTGCAGGACACCCTACCTAGTGCTGTAAGTTGGTTCCAGATCAACCAGAAAGCAGGCGCTATGAATGCATGGGTGTTGACTAGGTCCCGGAAAAAAAGGCAAGGGATGCTCAAGGTGATAAATGTCTGAAGTTACACCCACCATGAGCCAGGTTCTGGCATGATGGAGGAATTTTTGTAGTCATCAGGCAACAAGAGAGCTGCCTGGTATTGGCTGTATGGTCTTTTGTGGAATCACAGTCACACAGCCTTCAAAACACATCACTTCTTTATTCAAGATGAAACAAAACAAAGCCAGTAAGTGTTCTGCTCTTCCCCACTCTGACCTATGGACACTGAGACAAAACTAATCATGTTTTCTAAGTGGCCACAGGATAGCAAAAGTGTGGCTATCAAGGGGGTGGCTGGCGCTCCTCCCAAGTAAAAAGAATGTACTCTGAGGTCAAGGGCATGGTGCCAAACTAATTTCTTTTTCTTGAAACGTGACTAGTAAGTGGAGCAGAGAATGATGCTGAACTGTGTTCATGCTTTCTGTGATCCATCCATCAAGCTCCTTGGTGACCTTGCAGAAAGACATCACTTCCTGTGGGCTACGTGGCGAGGCTGCTGAGCTGAACTGCCCTGCTGACAGGGGAGGCAACAGCCACATGAACCTGTCCTGATGACTGCCTGAAGGCGCTGTTATCAAGGTTGCTCATCACCATGGAGATGAAGGTTCAGGAGACATGTTCATGCCATCGGACCACAGATGTCAGGCTGGCAATGTTCATGATGATGACAGAACTGGAATTGACTGCAACACCACAAAATTCAGAAACTGAGATGGACCTAGACACAGAGTATGACATGGCTCTCAAGGATAAGGCCACCTGAGTGTGTTAATTAATGGGGGCCCTTGGAGGGTGCCCTGCTCAGGCTGTATCTGGAATACTGTGTCTACTTCTGGGCCCATATTTTAAGGGTGAAGCTGACAAGCAGGCCCTCAAGGTGGGAGGCTCTTGGAGATTTTTATTTTTAGAGAAGGGGTCTTGCTCTGTTGCCTAGGCTATAGTGGTGTGATCAATGCTCACTGCAGCCTCAAATTCCTGGGCTCAACCAATCCTCCTGCCTCAGCTTCCCCAGTAGTGGGCTTTTTTTTCATATGAGAGAGGGTTGGATGAACTCTGAGTTTAACATAGAGAAAGGAAGACTTGGAGCTTACTTTTCCAACTAACATATTAAAGCCTGCTATTAAAAGCAGGTCAGACTTGCTCTATTTTACGCAGAGGAAAGGTCTAGGACCCATGACAGAAGTTATGGGAGCCAGGTGTCAGTTCAATTTAAGAAAGAATGTTTTAACAGTTAAAACTACAAATGACTCAGTGGGAAAGGAATTCCCTTCATATGAACAGGGGCTGGGTGACCAGCTGTGAGGAACTCTTCAGGTTGATTCTTACCTGAATGGGAGTGTGACCCAGAGCGCCCCTCTGTGCATTGTACTCTAGATGCGCAAATGAAGCTAACTTCAAAGCATGCTTTAAAAGTGTGTGAATGAAATTAATTTCAAAGCACATTTATAAAAGTTATAAGAAAATCACAGGGAGTTTCAGGGGAAGAGGAGAGAATATATTTTTGGAGAATTAATTTAAAATAGGATTTTAAGTGAAAAGAGTTTATTTCAAAGCTCAGCACAGAAGTACTCCTTTGCAAGTAGGAGATTGGTTTAATGATAGCTGTGTCTTTGTACATTTCCATTTAGCTCCTGAGTTGCACATGGAGGAAGTGACGGAAATGACCCAGTTCACTGGAACAAAGTCCTTATCTTTTCTTTCTGCCATCAAGTAAGAAGGCCAATCAGTGCTGGGTCTGAGTGATGATGCCATGTTTACACTCAAGATTTGTGTACAAATAAGCCGGGGCCAACAAGGGCAGAAAAGGCAGCAGAACCCTCCTGAGGCTCTGCTCCCCCTGAGAACATCCAGGAGCTATGTCTAGAAAGGTGCTCTCTGGCCGGGCACAGTGGCTCATGCCTGTAATCCCAGCACTTTGGGAGAGCCAAGACAGATGGATTACTGGATCTCAGAGTTTGAGACCAGCCTGGCCAACACGGTAAAATCATGTCTCCACTAAAAATACAAAACTTAGCTGGGCGTGGCGGGGCATGCCTGTAATACCAGTTACTCGGGAGGCTGAGGCACGAGAATAGCTTGAACCTGGGAGATAGAGGTTGCAGTGAGCTGAGACTGCGCCACTGCACTCCAGCCTGGGCGACAGAGTGATTCCATCTCACAAAGAGAGAGGAGAGGAGAGGAGTGGGAGTGAGAAGGGGAGGGGGAGGGGAAGGGGAAGCAGGAGGGGGAAAAGAAAGAGGCTCTTTACATGGTATCTGCTGGGGTCCTGGGCTCCTCTGAAACCTTGGCAAAAATTTTGTGTTTATGGTGTTTTTCTCAGGAGAAAGTCCAGATGTCAGCGGATTCTCAAAAGTGTTTATGACTGAGAAAGACAGAAGAGTGAGATTTACAAGGACCTGCTATGAATGGGGTAGGGGCAGATCTACCACTCCTTCTTGGTGCTATGAGGTGCCCAGGCACCCCTCTTTTCTGGGGCTCAGGCCTCCTCACTGTTGTAGGGTGAGGGGTTAGACAAAATGATTCTGGATTTCCCTTCCAACTCTAAAACACCATGAAAGAGAATGGAAGAAGCAAACACTCTTGTTCACAGTGACCCTTGGGAACCCACAGCCTTGGTCATTCTAACTTCGGAGGAGCATGCAGTCTCCAGGCCTTGAAAACTTAGCCTATAAGCAGCTCCCAAAGGACTGAGACACACATACATCCCTCTTACATCTCGGTCACATTCAGCTGCAAGGAGATGTGACTGACCACTCTGTCACTGTTATTACTGATCTAGTTACCAACTTTCCTTAATAAAACAATATTGAAGTACTGCCTTATTGTCAAAGATAATCACCTTATGCTAAATTCAGATAAGTAGCCACAGAATTTTCAAGATAATGCCAAGTAGCTAATTATAAACTTATTTTGAAATATGGGCACTCTCCCTGAAAACGCCCACCCCACCTATGTGTATTACTTTAGTCAACAAATAAAAAGCATTTCAGTCCTGCCTACAGTGAGAGAGGAAAGAGCAGACAGGAGAGAGAAATGGAACTCAGACCCAGACCCCAGTATCTCAAGAAACATCTTCCTTCTCTAGAGACCTTGAAAAACACAACTGATACTCATCTCTCTGGAATGATTCTAGTCCTTTCAGGCAGAGAAAAGAAAGTGAGCCACCGAGGGTCCTTCTACTCCTGTGGTCTTAAGTACTGAACAGCCTAAAGTGCTTCAAAAACAGATGTCAGATGAACTTGGCTCACCCCATGCACAAAGCCACAAGCACCATGAATAACGTTAAGTAACATAACAAGGCTGACTGGCGAATTCTCTTGGCCACACCTCATGAGCCAACAATTACACCAGTACCCTGAATTGTACTTGCATATTGGTGAAGTCAAAACTTACTGCCATTACTTTTGAAAACACAGAGTTAGGAATCTGCAGAATATTTTCAATAAGAAAACAAACACATGTTTCTGCCTTTCAGTGTGAAATCTCTTGCCAATGTTGATTAAAAGCATTACACTTTAACATCTATCCGTGTTCATGTTAAGTCTGTCATCAGAGATGGTGATGTAGAAATATATAACTGTCCTTTAAAAAACACACAAAAATTGAACATGCTATATGTTATCTTTTAAAAATGTAGTCTGTATTATTTTTACCAACCAAAACACACATAATATATTTTATTATAAAACATTAGGCAATGTTACTTTTGAAATATGCAACCTGAAAGGTCACACTTGTATTTATTACCAGTAGGAAATACCGGAGAAGTTACATTAGAAATCAACCAGACAGACTTGTACGTCGTTATCGTGACTTACACAGCATTAAATGCAGGTTGAAGCAGCACCCACTCAGTGTTTCAGACACGGACTCCGTATGGGCAAGGGGCCCTGCAAGAGGGCTTTCATCTCTCAATACTAGGACTCTGTGTTTCACATTCCAAAGACAAAAGCAGAGCCCCGTTTCCATCTCCAGACCCATGGCTGATACAGTGTGCACAGCCAGTGTTTCTAGACTGCTGTCCTGCTCAGATGTAACTCTGTCTGCTCTCTGGACTTTGCACTTGAAATTAAGACCCGGACATAGGGGAGACAGTCACTTCCTTTTTGACTGAAAACTAAGGCAACAAATGAAACAAACCTAGTCTAAATTCCAGGATAATAATAAATTACCTGGTTTATAAAAATACATGTCCAAAATAGTTACTTCCTGGGTTGTGTACAATATAAATTACAAAAATAAAATAGAAAAGATGAAAACTTGAGCACATTTTTCAGTTCTTTAACCAACATCAGCATTTATCCATAGAGATCAGCTTGAAACCATTTGCATGGCATTAGGACCCTGGCAAATCTAGGCTCAGCAGGGAGAACCATGAAGCTGGGGTGAGGTATTTCTATGGAGCTTGTGGCCTGTCCTGGGTACACTCACCTCTACCTGGTGGAAGAGGGCTTTTCCAGGAAACCCTGTCCACACTGTCACAGGCTCCATCCGTGGCAAGTGGCTTGATGAATGCCCAGAGGAGCGAGTGAGTAGAAAGCTAGTCTGCAGGTGCTTCGTCCCCCAGTGCAGGGCAGCTCCTGCATTTTCAAATCTCTCCCTTTCCTTTGTTTTTCCTTTTAAAGATAGATTTAGTAAAGTCTTTTTAAAAAATGTGTATTAGAGAGAAGGCCATTTTAAGATGTTTATATAGATAGATAGATAGCCATGTAATATGTGTTTCCATCTCAATCCAAGTTATTATTACCGGTTTGTATTTGAAAGTGTCTAAATGATACAATATAAAAGAACTATTTCTTATTTCATATTAATTTTGCTAATCAGGGGTTCCAGTTTCCAGTGATATGACCAAACAATAAGACATAACTGGTGCAGAGAGAACCATATATTTTAGATACTATTTAGAATAAACTTCCTTATCACAGTTCCTCCTCAGACACATTCTATAGAATGTTGACCAAAAAGCTTTCAAAATAATTGAACACAAGATATGAATCAGCAACAAAATAAGCTCAAGGGAAAAAACATGGGCACAGGTAGGCAAAACGTGATCATCATAGCTCCATTTCTGCAGTGACACTTACATACTCAGTATCTTAATGCATTTTGAATAATTTACATATCGTAAAGTATCAATTTCAGGTGAGCAGTTTTAAGTCACAAAATATTCAATAATTAATCATTACTCTTTGCGGTATTTCCTTCATATCCTCTGAAGAGTTTCCCAGAACATTCATGGATTTCCCTTAGGAAAAGGAATGCCCCCAAACAATGGAAAACAACTATAGCAAATAGGCGTCTGAATCTGCCTGGCATCTGAAAACAGACCAAAGAGGAATTTATCTGCTTCTTCCAATGAAGAAAGAAAATCAAGAACGTGGTATTGGCAGAGGGAAACTGAATGAGGAAAGGTAAGTAAAGGCGAAGGAAGCACTTAGGATATGACTGCAGTGATCTCTAGTGACCATTTTGTAAAATTCTACTTCAACGTTAGGCCATGAATGCAGAAATCTATCTGCCATCATATTACTGAGATGGAGAATTATGTGCCTAATACAGAAGGTGAAGTTCTAGGTAGCATTTTAAATTCATATTAAGTCTAAAAGACTAAGAGGAAAAGAGATAAGGTAGCTAGGATTTCAAGCAGCACTAAGCAAAACTTAAAATTTTATCATGCAGTAAAGCTGAATATACAACCATCCCAGACAAGACAATTTAGAGAAAACAAGGTGTCCACATAAGTGTCTTGGTTTTAGCTGTGATAATTCTCAGCCCAAACATCACAAATATAGGAAAAGCTATATATTTTATTTATTAAATAGATTTAATTATATGTCTTCTGAAATACAAAAGAGAATAAATCATAACATAAAAGGGAGTAAGATATAATAACATCATGATGGACGATTAATAAACATAAATCAACTTTTTCTGGACAGACACCAAATTACTTAAGAGGATTAAGAGATAACTTCAGAAGCAGCACTACCTGGAAAATTATTTGGCATTTAAATACTGATTTCCAAAGTGCTAGATGGGCAAGTCCAAGCAAGCATTTGTGGTAACATGCACATATATCTCAACAGTTACAGATGATGAGAAACTGTCACTACTATTACCATACAACTCTAAACAAATTCACCTATTCTAACTGCTCACCTGAAATGATCTTGAACAAAATCTCTAGAAATGTGGCTTGCACTTTTTTTCTTCAGACATATTCTGCCTCATTTTATAATCTAAGCAGGCAATCCTATTAGATCTGAGTAGGGCAAGGCATTGTGTTTCTTACATGCAGAACATGGAGTTTTTCTGTTTGGTTCCATCAACTCCCAAGCATTTCAGGCCCATGGAGGTGAGAGTTCCTTCAGTGATGACAGGTTTACTATTTCTAACTTATCATCGACAACCTTCAAGGGGTCCCGTCGAGGCATCGAGACTGCTGTCTGTGTCTGAGGCCAGTGTCTGCTCAGTGGACATGGATGAAATGTCATTGATAGATGAAGACTGAGAAGGAGTGGCGTTGCTACTTACTGCTGCATCTGTGCTAAGAAAACCAAATATAATAAAATCTGAGGCACGACATTGCTGCAAATCCAGGCAACGAGACTTCAGGCCATTTCTTGGCTCTGTCCTTTTGCAGTTTCCCAATCCTAACTATGAGTATAAACAAGAGGTTACTTGGCTGGACTTTATAAGCTTTTCCTTGAGTCTTTCTTTGGGCCCAGAATCCCATATTTCTATGTCTTTCCTTGCAAGATTCTTGTTTTCTTCTCGGTGGCTAAACATGTGTTCATGTATAATCATGTTACCTACTTAAAAAAATGCCTGCTTCTTTCAAGTAGACATCAAAAGGAAACAGCTATATTTATCTGAAAATGCAGTATCACAAAAGGCTTAAGCCTGAATAGGATTCAAGTGTCACTAGATACTTGAATTTATAACATAAACACTAAATCTACAGAAAAAAAAGCACCAATATTCAAAGAAATCTTTTGCAATAAACAGACTGCATACTTGAAAAAGGAAAAAAATTAGTGGCTTCATATTTTTTATTGTTTTATAACTCCAGAAAACTGATATTTTAATATTTTAAAGCAAATGAAACTATCCTACTTCCTACTATCAATGTTTTAGTCTGTTTTGAATAAAAATACAACATGCAGACTCTCTGAGATCGACGTCTACAGTCTTAAATTTGTGCTTAATTAACAAGCACTTAAGTTCTTACTGAAGTTATGTAATCTCTAGATGCTTGACACATACATCATGCTGAATATAATAACATTCAAGAATACAAAGTAAGCTGTGCTCTCTGCACATCTTCACACCTGTGTGTGCATGCTTTCCAGTGGGAGTGGGAGTGAGACAATAAATATAACTTGAGCGTTTCATTTAGTAAACAGGTAGAACCCTGCAGACGTAAGTGAATACCACTAATATCAGAGTCTCTCATTATCATACAACTACCCAGGCATTAGGATTCTACAACTGTATATCAGTAGATGAAGCAGAAAAATGGGAGAATGATATGAACAATTTTCTCAAAAGAAAATCATATTCCATTTTATCTAGATTGGCATTTTGGGTGGGACCAGTACACAGAGGGTTATCAACACTGAAAAAGCTTTTCTTTCAATTTCTTCATCTGTAAATGAAGCTGACCGCAGTTATTGCAAAGATGAAAGAGGAATGTTTATAACAAAGTTCAGTGCCTGACATTATCAGTAAAACGTCATCCACCACCACCACCACCACCACAACAAGCCAAAAAGGGTAGCTATTCATAAGTGGTTTTTAAATCTGATGCTAGCCAGGCTGGCATTTCACATGTTGCTGCCATTTATAAAAGTTGAACTGAGAAAGAAAAATATCATACAATCAAACTATTAAAGCAATCACTAACCTGAAGTCTGATCTTTTACAACACCATTCTTGCTTCTTTCTTCCCAATCCATGACTTCTTTGTAAATTAGCTCTTTAATAAAAATACAAGTTAAAATGCTTACTCAGTTTCTAAACAGTTTCATTGCATCTCTAAACTCTGCTTCCAAATCAACTGGAACCACTCCAAGGGCACCATGATATGTTATTTTTAATTGTAAGACAGAGTCAATTCAGTAATATAGTCTACCTGGACCAAAATATTCACTAAAAAGTTTTTTTTTTTTTTTTTTGAGATGGAGACTTGCTCTGTCGCCCAGGCTGGAGTGCAGTGGCATGATCTCAGCTCACTGTAACTTCCAGCTCCCGGGTTCAAGTAATTCTCCTGCCTCAGCCTCCCTCAGCCTCCCGAGTAGCTGGGAATACAGGCAAGTGTCACTATGCCCAGCTAATTTTTGTATTTTTAGTAGAGACGGGGGTTCACCATGTTGGTCAGGCTGGTCTTGAACTCCTAACCTCGTGATCCGCCTGCCTCAGCCTCCCAAAGTGCTGGGATTACAGGCGTGAGTTGCTGTGGCCCATCCTATATTATATTCATGTTTGATACATTGTATGTTTTCTTTTCTTTTTTTTTTTTTTTTTTTTGAGACAGAGTCTCATGTAGTCATCTAGGCTGGAGTGAAGTGGCACGGTCTTGGCTCACTGCAACCTCTACCTCTTAGATTCAAATGATTCTCATGCTTCAGTCATTCAAGTAGCTGGGATTACAGGTGTGCACCATCATGCCTGGCTAATTTTTGTAGTTTTTGCAAAGATGGGGTTTTGCCATGTTGGCCAGGCTTGTCTTGAATTCCTGGCCTCAAGTTATCTGCATTGGCCTACCAAAGTGCTGGGATTACAGGCGTGAGCCACTGTGCTCCGACTACATTACATTTTTTCAATGACTAGTAAGGTAGCAAAACATGGAGGGAGGTTCTGGATCCATAACAGGGTTTTATGAAGTGGAGTGGCTCCCACAGAACACTATAAGGGATTGGACATTCTCACACCCATGTTTGTCTCTGGTTACTCAGGGTTCTCCAGAGGTAATCAGCAGCCACATGTGGGCTAGGAGCCCCCCACACTGGCTGAAAATGAATCCACATGTTCTAAGTCTTTTCTTAGTTTCAACTTCAGTTTTCCTCAAATTTCATTTGTAAGAAAAACTAATTACCTACTAAGTAAGTTATTAGGGATTCCTAAAATTTCAGCATTCATGAACTAACATCAGCACATTGCAAGCATTTACTGAGACCAATGAGCATGCTGTGTGTATGTCTTGCTAAGCATGGGCACACAGGTAACTGGCACTCCCACATCCCAGGACGGCCCTGGGTCAGGACCCATCATCAGTGTTGACTCACTCTAACTGTGGTTCTCAGTTACTACTGATCCTGCTTTTTAATGAAAAATTGTTAGTTCAACCTCTTCATTACATGTATAGTTTGTTGTGGGTTGTTTGGTTAATATTACAGTGGTAATAATACCTACCTGTACATTTTCAATCTGCAATTTCCCCCAAACTGGATTTTAAAACATATATACAACTACATGGCTTAAAAGAACAAGCAGAAGTTCACATGACCCCCAGCCCTGGCTCCCCATTTCTGCATATACTGGGAATTCTATAGGTAACATGCAGCCAATGAATTGGTCTCACCTGACAATTTGCAACATGTTATCAATATATGTGTGATACAATTACCAAGCTCCATTTACAAACTAATATGTGAAAAACCATGAAAAAAATATTTTTTCCTCTTGAAACATATGATAAGAAATTCATACATGTGCCTCTCTTAATTCTGTTCTCTTCAAGTTCTTTTTCTACTGGAAACTGGAAGAAAGAGGCTAAGTGGACTGCAGGGTGTTTTTTTTTTTCCCCCTTCCTGAAGAGAAATGTTACAAAATGTAAAGTTTCTGCTTTATAGGATTGGAAGAAATGTCACAAGGAAGAACAAAACAAGCTCTGTCTTTACCTTTCCATTCTTCAATTGCATGTTCTCTTTCTTCCAGCTGGGCATCATAAATTTGAGGTGGTGGCTAAAAATTAAATCATATGCAAAGTCAACAGTAATGCCTCAAAAAACAATGAGGCATTAAAAAAGGTAGAATCACTTGGAAGACTTCTAGTCTATTTATGATATGAATTTAATGTAATTCAACACATGGTTTAATAAAGATTTCTGTCATGTGATATCAGCTTTTAGAATCAAAATAGTTACGATAAACTTAACCAAAAAAGAGTTACTATGTTCCTCTTAATAATCACCTGACCTCAAAACACAGACATCTGCCCAGATGTCATTAGAAACAGCACAGGCTGTTTCCTAGAGACCCATGATGGACAAGGCACTGGGCTGGCAGCTATGGAATATCCTGTTGTTTCTTAGAACAAGTTTTACATTTTCTTCATGGGAGAACTCCCAAACTCAATGTCCAACTCATAAATGGACTGTTACAAAAGTCTGCTTATAAATTGGATTATTTCTCTATAAAACAATGTTTAAAGTGATGGTAAGATCACTGGTCATGACATAAACATGTATTTCACTAATGGCCTGAAGGAAGCCTGCTACTATGCAGTGATTTCTCTCACAGCTAAAGCTCACTCACACCAGTGCTGATACGGAAACAAGCACACGAGCACCAAACTCAGAGTGGAGCTACTCCAGAAGGGGAACCAGGAGGCATGATGCCTTTAGGGAAGGATAAACAGACGTGTGATTTTTCAGCAAGTTGTTCAGCCTCTCTGGTTGAGTGGCCTAAATAAGAGGATGCAACCAAAGCCCATGGCATAGAACAGATCCTTAATAAACTACGAGCACAAAGCAGCATTTGCAAAATGGAAATAATGGTATCACCAAAGTGTAAGTTCATTCCCGAGGTACTCTGAGCTGGAGCTCCAGCAGCAAAAGAACAAGCGACCCAGGTCTCAGACAACACTTGGCCTTTTTGTAACTGGGAGCCCCCATATGGAGAACCTGCTACCTGTATATAGTCGCTCTGGATGAACAGAAAAGAGCCAAGGAAATACAAGCCTGGCCTCTACATATAAACCTTTTCAAAACAGATACTCACTGCTTCTGCTTCAGCAGGATCATACCAAACAGTGATGTATGGGTGACGCAGAGCTTCGTCTACAGAGATTCGCTTGTCAGGATCAATCACTAACATTTTTGATAAGAGATCTCTGGCTTGACTTGCTGGGGTGAAAACAAATATTAGATTAATAAATTAATGCTGTTAATATGAAAAAAAGAATCATACAATAAAGAACTAAGTATAAAATATGAAAAAATGAATCATACAATAAAGAACTAAGTATGACAGCACATATAGAACAAAGATATATTAATTTTGAGAAATGTTTGATAGGTTCAAGATGAATCGAACCCAAACATTTTTAAGAAAAAGTCAAGTGGCCACTTTCATGACAAGCCAGGTTTCCAAATGTAGTTTTACACCTCTGGATCTGCGAGGGGAAGGGAAACCTGGGTAATGGGGAAGAGCACCAGGCAGCCTCAGACCAATATCTGGGCAGGGCCCAAGGCTGGGAAACCACAGCAAAGAAAGTGGCAATTGCTGAACTGAGGGTGGCACTGCCCACAGTGCAGGCATGAGGCAAGGGGGAGTATTTTTCTCTATGTCACATCAAAATGAAATTAGAACAGACTTTTAAACTACACAACAATCTCACATTCCCACAGTATAAAACACTCACAGATGCTTCTGGCTGGCCTAGCTGTATACAGTATTGGCAACACACTTCTTTTTTTTTTTTTTTTTTTAAATCCACAGATTGGTATTTATGAAAAAAACCAAGTTAAATAACTTAGTTAAATATAAGTCTCACCTAGATTTTGGCAATTAAAGTTCACAACCTGAATAAGCAAAGGAAAGACTGGGGCTTTTCTGATTAAGGCATAGTTTACCTTAATGTAGATAGAATAAAATCACTTCTTTTTCCTTAAGAAACCACATTGTAGTAAAGGGTGCAGGAGAAAAGGGAGAGAACCTTTTTTATCAAATGACTATCACATGGCTTCTGACTCTAGAATCTGCAGTCAAGTTTTCTTTTTAATCTGAAAACTTTTTGAATTCCTGTTGCTGTAACTGTAACGTAAGATTATTTCAGACTGATTTGCTTATTTTTATTTTGGCCAAAGGCTTCAATTAAGCCATCTTATAGAGTATAAAGCTTCTAGACCTTTAAGCTTTCTGTCCTCAGTACCTTCACACCTCAGACGTCTGGCCTAAAATGACTTTCTCTCCCAAAGCTCACAGGTTTTTAGAATATAAACATGAAAGAGTGCAAATATCAACCTGAATAACAAAAACAAGCATAAGAAAAAAAGGATATTTTACTTTTTATTTTGTCTCGTTCAGATTCTGATGGGAATATCCAATCTGGAAAGAGTTCTTCGAATTTGATTCCAGGATACTTTGGTCTGTTTTCTACATAATTTCTCACAGTTGGCTGAAGTTTCTTCATGAACTCTGCTGATGGTGTTCCAAGTTGCTCAATAACTTTATTCCACTGATCGATATCTAAAGAGTCTCTTGAGGAAAATACAACTGAAATGCCTTGTATTCATAGTACATGCAGCAGCATCATTTGAAGAAAAGTGATATTTATACCTACCAACTAGGCCACCCCACTGGGATAAGCAGAAGAATTTTGAAATAATATTCAAATAAGATTTGGGTTTCCAAATTACACTATTTTTTAAAACTCTTACACTCTGTATCTTTGTAAACTGTGATCACAGTTTATTAAGTCAACATAATGAAGTCTATGCACCTTCCCACTCTAGTTCAAAATAAAGTTTATCTTATAACTAAAAATACCTATGGCAAAAATGATCAAACATGAAATTAGATAAACATTACATAAGCAAATTAAAATCAGTTTTCATACCAATGCTACCTTAGATTCCTTCATAGCCCTCTAAAGAACAGAGGATCTCGAGGAACCTGTGGAGAAACCTATCTGATCTCAGTTTACAGCTGGGGAACCAACCAACTATGCTTAGACTGAATCTAGTGACAGCTTTCAAATGCTGTTGTTTTATTTGGAATTGACTCTTCTCAACCATCCCAGACCTGGCTGCAATACCTAGGTAATGAATTTTATTTTCTTTCAAAGTGCATGACCTGGGTTTCGGACTCAACTCTGCACTAAACACTCATAGGCGTCAGGAGAAGTCAAGCTTCTTTGGGGGACCATTTTCTTCTGCAGACAATACCAGCTTTGCCTATTCCCAGGGTATTTGTTAGGCTTGGGATAATTGGGATTGCATGTGGGAAAGTGATACTGAAACTGTACTCAACTACAGAAGAGAATGCAAGACAGAAAAAAAAAAATAGCATAAACAGCAGCTTAAAAAAGTGGTCACTGAGGCATGTCTTAGAAAAATGAACTTACATCACCATGAAATAACCTAGTGAACAGGTACATGAACTCAGTTCTTCCAAAATGTTATGCTTCCAAAGACCTGCTTGGGTATTCAATTCACTAGTGAATTCTCCTTACTCCTATTTCATACATACTGTCAAATCAGAATTATGCCCACATTTTATTTACCTATTTAACCAAAATGTGAAAACTGTCTCATACTTTTCCCTTCTTCCATATACATGGAAGAGTCTCATTCTGTCGCCCAGGCTGGAGTGCAGTGGTGGGATCTTGGCTCACTGCAACCTCTGCTTCCCGGGCTCAAGTGATTATTGTGCCTCGGCCTCCCATTAGCTGGGACTATAGGCACCTGCCACCACGTCCAGCTAATTTTTGTATTTTTAGTAGAGACAAGGTTTCACCATGTTGGCCAGGCTGGTCTCTAACTCCTGCCTTCAAATGATTCGCCCACCTTGGCCACCCAAAGTGCTGGGATTATAGGCGTGAGCCACCGCACCCAGCCTGCCTTATACTTTTGATACCTCTTCCGCATACTCATTCCCACAGACTCCCCAGGATGCACCCACCCAGCATCTGTGTGCCATTTGCAACATAGCAACCATCTCTGATCCCCACTACACCAAGCCTGCCCAGCTCTAGACCCTAACCCTCATGCTTACCCAAAGATGAACTTCCTCAACTCTTCCTTCTCTGACATCATCAACATTTTGCACTTTACCAGTACATTCCATCACCATTCATAAATGATGGTGTTTTCTCCTATGTAAACACAACAGCTGCTTTCTTTTGGCCCCACTGCAGTCTGACTTCTGCAACTTTTTTCTATCTCCCAAATTTCAATCTAATATTTTAAAGAATTGGCAAATTTTTGTTAAACTCTGTATGACTTTTGGGAATAACATTAGGTGACCTTATAACACCATTAATTAATGACATTAATGTTAATATGTAAAGCAGGAATTTTAAGTTACTTACTAAAATGCACCAAAATGTACTCACATTTTTCATTTTTGTATTTTTTTGAAGAATCTAGCTATCACTCCATTTCGTATTCCTATTTGCAGCAAAACTTCCATAAAGACCTGCCTATACTGTGTCTGTAATTCCCAGCTTCTCATTTTCTTCAAACATATTCCCACCAGGCTTTCTTCCCTCTACTCCATAAATGCTTTGCCCATCATGGCTGCCAGCAGCCATCACGAGGCCCAGCAGCCAATCCTCTGTCCTCAACTCATGTGAATGAGCCTCCCTCAGTCACAGTCTCTAGGAGGAGGGGTCACTGGAGTGCCTTCTCCATTTCCTTTCCTATTCCTTTTCTCCTTCAACCTCAAGAAGGCTAAGTCCTGGGTCCTTGTCTCTTCCTCTCCTGCAAGCGCTCGCTACCAGTCCTGAGGCTTTAAGGTTACTGACAGATGGATGACAATCACTTCGATCTCTCTATCCCAGACCTGGCTCCTGAATTCCACTGTCTAACAGACATCTCCAAACCCTAGCAAGGCTCCTTGAAGGGTCCAGCTTCAAAGCAGATGCAGAGTACAAACCTATCTCCCTGAGCACACCCCTACCAGCCTGCTGGGGGCCTCCGCCTCTCCTCTGAATGATGGCAGCCTCTGCTCTGGTCTCTTGCTCTGCCCTGCCTTGATGAACCACCCTTAATTCAGCAGCTAGGGGGAGCCTCTTTGCACCTAAGTCAGATTAGTCACCCAGAAATGGGCAGGAAAGAGAAATATCTGCTGGGTTAATGATAAAGGACTAGAAACTAAACCAGTTGTGAGAGAAGACCCACAGATGCCCTGAGAGGTCCCCAATCCAGCATCCTATAGATGAGAGGGATGGGACAGATGAGAGGGACAGGGGAAGGGGAAAGATAATTCTGTCAAGTCCGGTGAACTTTGTTGTCTAACTCTTGTGATGCTGCAGGCAGACCATAGGTCTCCCATTTTACAGAAGGGGAAACCAAGGCTCAGAGAGGCCCTGAATTTCTCAAGGATGCATGGCTGGCAAGGGGAGGAGTCTGAGCTGGGGCCTAAGGTGGTCTGGCAAAAGTTTTCTCTTTCTCACAGGTCAGGGCAGGGACAGGAATTCCTTTTTTACCCCAGCTCACAAATGTAAAGCAAATCTCTGAGACCCTCAGTCTGACTTCTGCAACTTTTTTCTATCTCCCAAATTTCAATCTAATATTTTAAAGAGTTGGCAAATTTTTTTTAAACTCTGTGTGACTTTTGGGAATAACATTAGGTGACCTTATAACACCATTAATTAATGACATTAATGTTAATATGTAAAGCAGGAATTTTAAGTTACTTACTAAAATGCACCAAAACGTACTCACATTTTTCATTTTTGTATTTTTTGAAGAAAACATTTCTTAATAAAACAAGGAATGGCACAAAATGAATAAGAATTGAGACAAACTGAACATTAAGTAGATACTTCTAAATGATTAGCCCTGATTCCTCAACTTTTCCCTTTTTAATTAAGTTAACTTGCAAAATAAAGACTTCCTTATTTATAGGTTGAAACAAGTGAATCTGAGTTAAGGCTAAGGAAACTGCTAGAAAATTTACTAGAACAAATAAAATACTATATTTAACTTGACATATAATCTGCGATAGATAAAAATGTAAAGGAAGGTAAATGAGAGAAATAAAAACATCTTCATTCCAAGTCTGTGTTGTGAAGAATTTATATTATAAGGAGACCATCCTGATAAAATTATTAAAATCTGAAATTACTTTCCTAAAATACATACAAACACTGACTACAGAGCTTGATTTCCTTAAAAGCAACTATCAATCTGCCTAAGGATGGAGACCAATTTAAGCTTTCATAATGAAAACAAAGTCAAAGACTAATGAAAAACTAAGTGGTTAGAACACAAATGAAAAAGGGAAGATGTGAAGAACCATGTTAGGGTAAAAAATACTGAGGATGGAAGAATGGAAAATGAGGAAAGAAGCTTATTTTAATGATTAGAGTAGTTATTCTCCTTTCTGCTGTCTCTCTAATATGACTTGCTGACTACAGTATGAGTTCATCTTTTTCATTTTACATTTATTTCAACTTCCCCAGCATGTCACAAAATAACCCACCAGACAGATTTGTTTTTAAAAAATTCTACAAAATGTTAGTGCAGTAACAAACAAGAAAGTTTAACATATTGTTCCTCACAAAATTTTCATTTTAATCTTTCACTTAGGTCCTTTGTAATGTGCTTCAGTTCTTACTTTGGGGAAAAGTATTTCAATGCATAGCAATAACTAACAAAATAGTATTTAATTAAAGCACACAGGCCTATTAAATTCAGCTAGCATCTTTCCTAGTTAAATTAATGAAATAAACTAAATAATACAATATTTTCATTTAAATATCAGAATATACTTATCAAAGAGTAAATAATTTCTTCTATATGTCTAGCTATTTTTGATAAAATTAAGAGCGAATATAATTGGCTTAACTCTAAGTCTCAAAATTGTTACAGGTAGTCAAGTTAAAAATAAAGTATAAAATTGACAGTTGGTGTCTGACACTAATTAACAAATATAATAAAGCCCCCCTTAGAACACAGTCTGGAGTGGATTATGACATTGTCCTTGTGAGTGCTCGTGTAAGCAGGTGGTCATGCTGCCTGAGACATTATGGAAAGCATGGCGGGGCCAAGGTCGCGGGGAAGGATACGGTCAGTGCCTTGGAATATCACACAACCTTTCACCAGCTCTCCCATGATGCAACCCACTGACCAGATATCAACTGAAAATAAAATGAAATGATAAAATTATGAAGTGCCATGAGCAAAACAAAGGTGAGGAAAAGGAATTCTAACAGTGCACTAAACACACAAATATGGAAAAATAAATTGCTAGCTAAGGGTGAACTTTTTACACAATATGAATGATTGCTGACCTCTATTTTAGCCTTCAGTTTGTAGCAATCTGGGGTTTTAGTGCCAAAGAGTCCAATACTTTAGAGCTTAAAACAAACAAAAAACCAGAAACAAGAAGTGCCTGTGAACACAAAGCTTTTCAGGGTCATATGCCCACCCTGCCCCCAGCCTCCATGGCCAAGTGCCAGGTCCCCTGTGAAGGATACAGTCTCTTCCTGGGAACAGGACTTTATGGAGGACCATTTCTGCCATGATGCACCCGACAGACCAGATGTCCACTACCAAACACCAGGGGATTAAAAACCAGCTACAGCCCCACATCTCTTTTCTCCAAACCCCCTCCCAGAGACAAACCCAGTAAATGTCACCAGCTTGCCAGCAGGAGCTTTTGTGTACTGTGTACACCACACCAAATGAGCAGATCATTTTCTAGACTGCCCTATCAGAAAGGCAGCAGCACTCGGTGGGGGAATATGCAGCACACAGTGGCTGGCTTGCAGGACTGCAAATGTGACCCTGCTATAGGGGCCCAGACTTCCCGCCCTCATCTGTGATGCCATGCTGGTCCCCCTGGCCTCAGACAGACAGCAGAGCCCTCTAAGTGCTCTGCTGGTGGGCAGGGGGGAGAAGTGAACAGGGGATCTAGTTTTCTCTCCCTTCCACAGGAAGCACATGAAGCTGTGCCTCTCAGGGTGGGAACACATGCTACAATGCAGCAAGATAAACCTGGAGTAAAACTTGTTTCAGATGACCTGGGTAAATTTCAGTCTTTTTAAAAATAAGTTGAGAAAATACCAAATATTTGTTAATAATAATAAAAAAAAGTAAGTGTGATTTAGTTATTTTCATCAAATTTGCTAAAAGCCAAGTTTCAAAGAGCTCTGATATTGCTAGAATAAGCTAAATTTTGATGTAAAAAGATACCAATTTTACATGAAAGAGAACATGTATTAATCCATTTATATCACAAAACCAACAAGAAAAACCAATTCATGGTGCTAGAGATCAGGAGATTGGCCAGCTTCGTGGGCTGGGAGGAGGAGGGGCTATGGGGAGGCCAGAGCTGCTGGTCCTGTAGGTGTGCTCGTATCAGCTCAACTGCACACTCAGGATCTGCACACTTGGCTATAGGTAGATTAAATGTTGATAAAAAGTTCAAAATACTAATTTTAAAAGCAAAATTTTAAAAGGGAATGATTTAACCAATGGAAAAACACAATTAATTATTTATTATCTCTGGATCATGCTATTCTATATGTAACAGTTCCCACGGTCTACACCATATGGTTCAAAGGAAAGAGAAAAAACTCAGGACCACCACTAGAGCAATTTCTAAACATCTCAGCCTCTTCCAGTCCTGCCTTTACTCACCATTCTCTTTGTAGCCCATACCCAGGATGACTTCAGGTGCCCGGTAGTACCGTGTCACCACATAAGGAGTCATCATAAAGTTAGTGCACGCTGTGCGTGCCAGGCCAAAGTCAAGGATCTTCAGGGTGCAGTCTGATTTCACAACAATGTTGCTAGGCTTCAAATCCTAGGAAAGAAATAGTTTAAATCAGTAAAAAGAACAGAGCATGCTAAATAAACTGCTACATATCCGTAAGGGTCTGTGAAGCCAGTGTGAGAGTGTAGGGAGTAAACTGAACTCTGGGATTTGGGAACAATTTTGAAAAATCTTACTCTGAAATTGAAACTAAAACAAATCAGTCTAAAGAGGTCAGATGGTACCCCTTACTCCCAATGAAAACGTTCATGGCCTTCCTTTGTCCTTTCTGTGGCCTTGCAGGCCCTCAGGCTACTCAGTCTACCCTCCGTCTAAGCATCCACATGTCCCGTCCTCCACACCTGGACTTCAGTTCCCCAATACTCTGATTCTCTTCTGCTAAGGTCCTCGTGCTCACTGTCAGTCTAGGGTAGTGCTGTTAAATCGACAATGCCATATAATGTGAACCATGTGTATAATTTACATTTTCTAGTAGCCATGTTCAACAGTGTGAACAGAAATAGGTGAAATTAATTTTAATAATATATTTTATTTAACCCAATATATCCATATTATAATTTCAAAATGTAATCAACATCAGAAAAACCTTGAGATATTTTATATTCTCTTTTTGGTACTGAGGCTTTGAAGTCCAGTATGTATTTGACAACTGCAGCATGGCCACATCCTGAGTACTCTACAGCTTCCTGTGGTTGGTGGCTGCCATTCTGGACAGCACAGGCCTAGAATCCTCTAACCCTGGGATGTTCCCATGGCTCTTTCTCTCCTTGGACGAACAATTCCATCATCATCCACCTCAAGTCTTCTCACCCCCACGACTTGGATAGGGTACGCTGAATGAAGACATGCATCCTATTCCACCCCACTTGCAAAGCCTTAACACAACTTCGGCAACCTCTTCCCTTATAACTAAGGGATGTTTTTCCTGCTGATCCACCACCCTAGCCTCCTTCCTTAGGACTCAGGAATTTGACTTTTGCCTGGGGACTTCAGCCTGCAAACTCACGCTAGAGACTGCGACTTGTAAACAACTCACATCCATTCTTTTCACAAGAGTATAAAATGTGTACCTGCAATGTCAAATTGCCAAGCCACTGACACAGGGTAAAGCCCAAGGATACTTTACATGGGGAGTTTCACGTTCCATAAAACTGCCTAGCACCTGACTTTAAGACATCCCAATTGATGGGCCACAAGGGGGTTTCAGGTATGCCTCAGTGAAGGCTGTGGAACTGTTCTCAGGGCAAGCAGGAAGCCGTTTGAATATTTACAACAGTTACAATTACATTTCAATGCTGCTAAATGCTCTATTTCTAGGCTGCCTAGATTCTGTAAAATTTAAATTATAAATATATAATGTTTAAAAATGCAGTGACAATCTCTACCTGGCCCCCAAAAGAAGCCCCTAGCCCCTCCATTCCACCTCAGGGTACTGTGCAGACACCCCCAGTTCCCAGAGAGGCCTGAGAGAAAGAAGCTGGGCTGCTGCTCGACAGGAAGGAAAGCCAGGGGAGAAGCAGCCCAAGTTCAACCAGGGACTCTCCGCTGTGAGGACTTGGTCTGGAGCTAAGACCAAATGAAGCAATTTGCTTCTCGTTTCCTTTTTTTTAAAATCAAAGAATAAGTTAAGAACAAGCATTTTATGCCCATTGATAATAGACTGGATTGGAAAAATGTGGCACATATACACCATGGAATATTATGCAGCAATCAGAAATGATGAGTTTGTGTCGTTTGTAGGGACATGGATGAATCTGGAGAACATCATCCTCAGCAAACTGACACAAGAACAGAAAATGAAACACCGCATATTCTCACTCATAGGTGGGTGATGAAAAATGAGAACACATGGACACAGAAAGGGGAGTACTAAACACTGGGGTCTATTGGGGGGAAAAGGGGAGGGCCAGTGGGAGGGGGAGGTGGGGAGGGATAGCCTGGGGAGAAAAGCCAAATGTGGGTGAAGGGGAGAAGAAAAGAAAGCACACTGCCATGTGTGTACCTACGCAACTGTCTTGCATGCTCTGCTCATGTACCCCAAAACCTATAATCCAATAAAAAATTAAAAAAAAAAAAAAAAAAAAGAACAAGCATTTTAGAACACAAATTAGTAACAGATAAAATAATGTCCAATCTCACAAAAATCTTTTTTAAAAACCCAAAATGAACGCCTATTTTTAGTCTATCGTGTGGCAGCCATGGAAAGCAAGCAGCCTCAGTAATAGTGGGAGAGGCAGAAAGAGGCACCTTCTCAGGCCACAGGGAGTGTGCAGTGGGTACTTTCTCTCCAGGAAGCTGATTTCTGAGGTGTGAAATGCACACACTTCACCAGCCAGCAGGCCCTGAAGCCCAGTTCACCCAGAACTAACAGCACAGCTGCAGGAGCAAGGATGACAAGGACAGCCTAGTTCTACCAAGGACAGAAGCACCAGCGGAACCATCTCCACAGGATGCCTGCCAGCTCTGTGAACCCTAGTGTGCCAGAAAATACACTCATCTGAAGACACTGCCATCTGTCAAAAAACTGACATCACATACCGATCTGGTTAGAAAAGCACACTTCACTGCCATCTGCTGGAAGACCATGATCATAAAATCCCAAGCTTGTGTGGGTGCTCTGTGTGGCCAGTGGGGAGGTGGCTAAGGAGGTCACACGGCTTCTAGAGCTCTCCCCGTACCCTGGGACCCTCTCCAGTCACCCCCAAAATACAACCCGAGGCAGCTTCCCAACACCTCACTTCAATTTCGGGATGAAAAGAGGAAACATAGTTCTGCCCCTTCAAGTCTTGAAAATTACCAAGAACAAAGAAAACGAGAAATGCTAAGATCCAAGTGATGCCTGCATTGGGGCTGGCTCCCAAAGAGCCTGGAGCCCAACGCTGCCCTATCAGCAGTGAGGGCACCCACAGCACAAGTGGAGCAGGTGCTGGCCTCCTCCACTGCCTTTTTGACTCTGGGATCCAGACCCATTGCTTGAGAGGTATTCTAGGAGGAAGCATGTCATGACAGATATCCACTGTCTGGCCTTCCCTGGTCCTTCCCCACAGGTCCCTGTAGCCTTCCACTAGGGAACAGCCAGACATTCTGAGGATGAATGGACACAGCTCTAAGTGGACACTGAAACCTGAAGACCCCAAGCACTACCATGGCTCCTTCACTTGCAGGGTTTGTGGGGCCAGGTCTCTTCTGGCCGTGTCATGGAAGGGTGGGAATATTAGCAAAGGCTTAGAACAAAGCTGTAAGAGAACCTCACTTCCAGCCTGCATGAGTATGGGTGCAGTTTGGGCCTCTCTTCTGATCAGTGTGGAGGGTGCATTTGCCCAATCAACATGCTGGACCCGAGGCCTTTTTAATCTGCTCCAGCAACTGCACCTCGACCCACACAACAGCTGCAGCCAGGACTGCCAGTGCAGTAAGCCTGTGGCTGTCTAGAAACATTCACCAGAATCCATGAAGTTTCTTCTAGTGAGTCAGACTGGGATGCAAGAGAGACCACTGTTTCCACTCCCCTGAGGCTTCCATGGTGGCACCAATCTCCTCCACCCACCTCCAGTCCTGCAGGGTGTGATCTTGTTTTGATTTACTATCTTTGGGGCAGTTTCAGGTTTCCATTTGGTCTTCCCATGGTGATGACTCTTACTCGCCAAGCAACTCGTGTGGGGGTTACTCCAACTGCCAAGGACATCCGCTCCAGCCACACACTGAGGATTGGGGAGATGCTCACTGGGTGGCCTGAGACCCCGTGGCCCACTGAGAGCCACCAGATGCAGATGGCTTAGGAATGAAGGTCTGGGGCACATACCAGGTAAGCCAGAGCCCTGCTAATGTGAGAGCTGAACGTATGAATAACAGAAAAGCGTAAGGGAGAGAGCCAGTAGAGAGACCACAGTGGCAGGGACTACAGAGTGTCCCACTAACCTGTCTTTCAGATTTCCCCTGAGGAAGAAAGAACCATGGGCGCCACAGGAAAGCCGTTCTCAACCTATGTAGAGAAGTGGACCTGAGGTGGCCAGGGTGGACTGTGGGGGCCAGAGAAACGCGCTTCTTAGTCTCCCGCCACAGGAATGAGAGTGACAGATAGCTCAGTGCAGTGTTGGCACCCATCCTCTGTCCCTGCCAGGGCATACCTCTCACAGAGCCCTCAGCCAGGATCTGAGCAGGCAGGGGTACTGAGGTAGGCCTGTTCCTGTGTGACACTGGAGGTCCTCAGAGCTGCACCTCAGTCTGGACCAGCCCTCTGAGGGGCCAGGACTGCACTGTGTTTGACTGGCATTCGCTGCCTCCTCTGGCTGCTCCCCCTTCCTTCTCACACAGGCCTCCTCCCATCCAGTCCTTTGCCTGTCTAACCCACCACGGCATACTGAAACTGCCCACAAAAAGCCCCCACTGTATGGGGATGGGAAGCTGCAGGGCTACATCAAATGCCATGGCAGAGTGAAGGGAATGCCAACCTTCACAAATGGCCACAGCAAGGCAATTTTAACCATGACACTCAGGAAAGGCTCAGCTACTGAACCACAGGTGCTGTGGAGGTGGAACAAGGCAAGAGCAGCACTCTGAAGAGTTTTCTTTTTATTCAAAGTCCAGGTATGGAGCAGGTAGATGTCCCAGATCCCCACCTCCATCTCAGAAGTGAGGCTCCACTCCTTCCTCACTCCTGCTGGCCCTTTATGCAGAGAAACTGATGCCCGGCTTCTAGGTGTAGGGCCACAGGTGCAGCATGCACAGACCTGTGGGTACCAATAGAGAAGGTATGATGAAGCCTGTCTAGGAGAGGGCTGCTCAGTGAGTCTGTGCTCTTTCATGTGAGAAGCCCAGCCTCACCCCATGGCCCTGTACCCCATCAGCAAGGCTTACATCTCTTCACCAAGGGATTGGAGGGGCCCTTTCCAGAGAAACTAAATGGTGCCCAGAGCAACACCTGTGGCTGCCTGTGGCCCAAGAGATACCCATTCTTTAACAATCCACCCATTCTCTCAGCACTTCCAGTCAGCCTTTAATGTGTCAATCTTTCCTTTTTTCTGAGCCAAAGTCTCACTCTTGTTGCCCAGGCTGGAGTGCAATGGCATGATTGTGGCTTACTGCAACCTCTGCCTCCTGGGTTCAAGTGATTCTCCTGCCGAGTAGGTGTAATTACAGGTGCCCACCACCACACCCAGCAAATTTTTTGTATTTTTAGTAGTGACGGGGTTTCACCATGTTGGCCAGGCTGGTCTCAAACTCCTGACCTCAGGCGATCTACCTGCCTTGGCCTCCCAAACTGCTGGGATTACAAGTGTGAATCCCCAACTGCACCTGGCCGAATGCTTCAATCTTAAACATGATCCAACCAGACATTTGGGGAAAGCCTTGCATGTGACAGGGAGGGACCTAATACCCTAAAAAAGAAACTCTAGGTAGCGAAAGACAATGCAGGGAATAATAAAACCCTTTGACAACAGTTTATCCTCAGAGATGATAGTACATCCACGCAACAAGAACAGAATGATGTAAAAAGGAACTTTTAAGAGTAAATGAGGCCGGGTGCAGTGGCTCACGTCTGTAATCCCAGCACTTTGGGAGGCTGAGGCAGGTAGATTGCCTGAGGTCAGGAGTTCATGACTAGCCTTACCAACATAGTGAAACCCCGTCACTACTAAAAATACAAAAAATTTGCTGAGTGTGGTGGCGGGCACCTGTAATCCAAGCTACTCAGGAGGCTGAGGCAGGAGAATCACTTGAACCCAGGAGGCGAAAGTTGCAATGAGCCCAGATTGCACCATTGCATTCCAGCCTGGGCAACAAGAGCAAGACTCCATCTCAAAACGAACAAACAAAAAAAGAGTAAATGAGTGCCAGTTAACTCGTGCATCAGAGGAAAAGAATAAAGAATAGAGTTAAGAGCACATTCTGAAAGAAACAGTATAAATTTCTCAGACCACTACAACATATGCTTCCAGGCTGAAAGCCAAGTGCCCAGCAAAATTAATGAAAAAATGTCCATATCAAGGCATACATCAAAACATTTTAGAATCAAGGAATAAATAACTGAGTTTTAAAGTTTATAGAGATAAAACCAAACCAAAACCCAAAACCAGAGCACTTAAAAAAGGTTAGTCATCAGATATCACTAGGGCACTCTGGAGCCACACTAGATCCAGGCACTGCATCCGCCATTCTGAGCGCAACTGATCTGTAACTGAGAATTCTACACACAACCACACTACTCATCATGGGAGAGGGCAGAATAGAGTTTCAGACATTTAAGGCCTCAAAAAATTTCTTCCCCTGTGCCATTTTTAGGAAGCTTTTGGAGGATGTGTCCCACCAAAACAAGGGGGTAATCTGAGAGACAAGGATAGCAAGTAGGGAATCCAACATGGGAGGGAGAAAAAGGAAACCCCCAGAAAAACACCAAGGGAGACCCAGGACAGCCCCTCCAAGCAGGTGCAGGGACAGCCAGTACAGAAGAGAACAGTGCTGCAGGAAAGGTTCCTGAGAAGACAAAACTAATGAAATGCCCAAGACATCTCCATGCACTGAGAGATTTAGATGCCTGATAGAAGAGTTAGGGTTCAATTAGCAACAAGAACATAGAACACTAGCCCTCTAAAACAAACAAACAAAAATCTCAAACAAATAAAAGATAAGTGTTTGTTAACTCCAGGGACCAAAAGTTGAAAGGGGAAGGTCTGCTGTGCAAAGCAGTTACATGATCATGATGATGCAATGAGCCAAACACACCATCACATCAGCCAGCCCAGGAGGAGAGGGGGGAAGGCTGAGGGTGAGGGCTGTGTTGGTAAGAGTCTAAATCAGCATCTTATGCCCCAAACTGAGAAAAGATCAATGAAGAGAGAGCTAAGCATATTATTTCAATATGAAAATGATACCCAAAATAATCAGCTAAATGAACTGAAGGAGTCTGTTTCTCGGGAGAGATAAACAAGGGAGGAGGTGGCAGAATCTGTTTTTCATAAATATTTATAGAACTATTTGATCCTTGATAAAAATAAACAAACCAAGCTACTTATTCAGCTACAGTTATATACAAGATTATCCTGTCTTTGAAGAATAAAAGTTCAAAAGGACATAAGTACAGATATGTTCGTGTTAACATCAGTAAACAGAGAGGTGCCATGCAGAGCGAAGCAAGACATGCACCAGCGTGCTCTCACTGGCCATCTCCAGGTGCTGACAGAAGGCTGGGGTACTTTCATTTAGTGTTTTGAATTATATAAAGTAAAGTATATTCTTTGGTGAGATATGGGTAAAACTTTATCTTTCAAATACTTAAAATTTATGTTTTGCATTAAACCATTTTAATAAGCAAAATTAAAAGTGTGTCTATCTCTGTGCATGGCACTACAGATGGGACAAACGATGGGTGCAGTCCACACAGAACAGTTAACTTAGGGCTCCTCCCCTCCTGGGATGTGGGCAGGGGTGGGATGGCGGGGGCAGGAGGCAAGAGGGGGTTTCCTTCTTTTCTTTATACACATGTGCAATGTTTGGAACTTCCCCACAGTAAGCGTGCATCACGCTCCCACATGGACACAGATTCGGGGAGAGCCTGGCAGACCCATGGATGTGGGAAGCAGGAGGGAACAAGGTGACAGGGAGGATGCAGCAAGATGCTGGGCGGATGAGAAGTGGTGAGTAGGAGGCAGGGATGGCAATGGGGTAATTTTCTGAAGCCTTCTTAGGTTTCTAAACCTTGTGCTGGGCATACCAAATGCTTCTTTTGGCCTCATCTGACAGAGGCGGCAGGGACCCACTAGTCTGAAGCTGCAGCTCTCACAAGGTCCCCAGTGACAGGAGACCATTGTTTCTCACTTACCTCAGGGCCCAAGGGGGAAAAAGTCAGGCAAACCATTTCCCCTTATAAAATGTATAAGGCATAATGTAGTAAGACTAATAATCTGGGAAATCATTCTAAAGCATGAATTTAATAAAGTATTTAAGAGAGATTAAGAGTGCCTTAAATTATATGAAGGTCTGTGGAAATTTCAGGAAAAGAAATAGAATGGTATATCAGAAAATCTTACTTTTAATTCAGTGTTACTATTTTTAAAGCAAAGTTGCCAACATATTATTTTAACTGGCCACCTGGTGGCAACAAAAGTTATATTTCAAATAACAATACACTGGATGGCAGATTGGAGGCTGTCAGCTACCTGGGAGGACAAGAGTTATCCCTGATGCTGACCTTGGGCCACAGACCTGAGGCTTGAAAGGAGGCAAGCCTGCCCTCTGTGGGTCAGTGGGCTCTGTCCCAAAGAGAGGCCTTCACTGGCTGTGATGGAACAAATCTTTCCTGGCATAAGAGATCTGAAAAAATTAATACCACTCCACCATCTAAAACCTATCTGCTCATTTCTGTAATAACAGGCTCCACTGTTCTTGTCGCTCACCAGCTTCTTCCCCACACAGATTTCAGTTCAGCAAAACTATGATCTTTTGCTGTTGGAACATAAAATTTAATGGCAATCTGTCAATATAATTAGTATAGTAATAATTCAGGGAATGCTAAGAATACCTATTTCCGATAAAATTATATTATCTCTGCCTCTAGTCTCACTCAATATTTTAGTTGTTTTTTAAAAAAACTTTATCATGATAGTCCACTTACACAGCCCTACAAGTAAAAAACTAACAAACACTTGTAAAATTAGCTTAGAGAGAATTATATCATAGTTCCCTAGTTTATTAAATGTTTTTTTCCTGATAGTACAGTCACACTGTCATTCAAATCCCAGCCTCTGCCAAGCCCACAGGCCCTCTCTGAACCCTTGCAGCACAGGGCCAGGCCACTCCCACCAGTGATGCAGTGAAGCTGGCATGGCAGAATTTTAGGATAAGAGAAATAGATATTTGGGTCGTGATTTAAGAAAGAGAGTTCTCAAGCAGTGGTCTCACTGACTGCTTGGCCTCTAAAGTCCTTGCTCATTAAAAATGGGATTTCAAATATGGCAAAAAAATAAAATAAATAAGTGAATGTAGATAGATGGCAGTTGGAAGTTCTCCATCCTATTCTTACATTTTTTCTCTAAGTTTTACTTTAAAATTAAAAGTTTAAAAAAAAATGTATTCTTGCGCAGTATCTGACTGAGAGTGGCAGCTCACTCAGGCTGTGTTCACAGCAGCTTACCTAGCCTGACAGGTCACGTGGCTCCACAGACGCTTCCTAGAATGACTCTTAAAACACAACATGATTCCATCATTTATTTGGATTGTCAACACCAACAATTTTTTTAAAATGTTATTTTGTATGTAAAGGATTATGACAACCAAATGATTGTTTTAAAAATAAAATTCATAGATTACTACTTACTCTATGAATTATACCAGCTGAATGCAGATGTTTAATACCACAAAGCATCTGGTAAAGAAGATAGGACATTCTTTCATGATCCAACTCCATGTGAATAACCTGACATAAGTTAGCATCCATTAATTCCATAACCAAATACCTGAGGAAGAAAAGGTCATTATGTATTTGAATATTATCCAAAGTTCCTTTATGACTAAATTTCATGAAACAATAACTTACTATCTAATCACTGCACTGGCTAAAGTAAAGATAACTTGGTACAACGTAACTTTCTAAAAATTTTCCAAATAATATACACTAACAAACTTAATGTCTTACAAGTTAAAAATTAAAAAAAAAAAAAAAAAAACTTCTACAGCATGGTAAATAGAATCTCAAACACACAAATTTTCCTACTTCTTTTTTTTTTTTTGAGATGGAGTTTTGCTCTTGTTACCCAGGCTGGAGTGCAATGGTGTGATCTTGGCTCACCACAACCTCCACCTCCTGGGTTTAGGCAACTCTCCTGCCTCAGCCTCCTGAGTAGCTGGGATTACAGGCACGTGCCACCACGCCCAGCTAACTTTTTTTTGTATTTTTAGTAGAGACGGGGTTTCACCATGTTGACCAGGATGGTCTTGATCTCTAGACCTCGTGATCCACCCGCCTCGGCCTCCCAAAGTGCTGGGATTACAGGCTTGAGCCACAGCGCCTGGCCAAATTTTCCTACTTCTTACATTTTTTGCTACTGAAATCCTTCTTACCAGCCTACAACCATGCTGTTACAAAGTTCATATGGTTCATCAACCATAACACATGTACCCTCTGGTGGGAAATGCTGATAATAGGGGAGACTCTGAATACATGGGGCAGGGGAGAGACTGGAACTCTGTACCTCCCGCTCAATTTTGCTATGACTCTAAACTGCTCTCTACTACGTGTGTGTGTGTGTATTTTATACATATATATATATATATTTAAAAGTGATCATAAAACAGCAACAAAAAGAGCACTTGGCCCCACCCCCCAACTCCCCCATTTTTTGCTCCCTTTGCAAGCAAAATTTCCAAAGAGGTGTCTGATGTGCTATCTCCAATTCTTCTCCCGCCCTGCCTTTTTTTGAGAGCCTCGCTGTCACCCAGGCTGGAGTCAGTGGCACATCTTGGCTCTTGGCTCACTGCAGCCTCCACCTCCCAGATTCAAGTGATTCGCCTGCCTCAGCCTCCTGGGTAGCTGGGACTACATGTGCACACCACCACGCCTGGCTAATTTTTGCATTCTTAGTAGAGACAGGGTTTCACCATATTGGCCAAGTTGGTCTCGAACCCTTGACCTCATGATCTGCCGGCCTCAGCCTCCCAAAGTGCTGGAACCACAGGCATAAGCCACCAGGCCTGGCCTCCACTCGCCCCGTTTTTTTTTACATTTTCTTTTGAGACAGGGTCTCACTCTGTTGCCCAGGCTGGAGTACAGTGGCGTGACCTCAGCTCACTGTGACCTCCACCTCCCAGGTTCAAGGCATTCTCATGCCTCCGACTCCCAGAACTGAAAATTAAATACAAGAGAAAAAAAAAAATCAGCCACCATGCCTGGCTAATTTTTGTATTTTTGGTAGAAACAGGGTTTTATCATGTTGCCCAGGCTGGTCTGGAACTCCTGACCTCAAGTGATCCACCCACCTTGGGCCTTCCAAAATGTTGGGATTATAGGCGTGACCTACCACACCCAGGCTTCTCCCATTTTTTTCTTAATCCCACTTGGATCAGGCTTTTGCAGCTGCCATTCTACTGAAACTGTCCTCCTCAGGGCCACTGATGGCTTCCATGCTGTTAAATCCACTGGCCAGTCCTACAGTCCTAGCTGGTCCTGCCCTGTCCTATCTCTAACTTCTTGCTGTCAAAATGCCTAGTGACTGGTCTGTGAACCTCTTCTCTTCTCTAACCATACTCACGTCTCCTTGGTAATCTCAGTTATAGGCCATCAGCTCCTAAATGCCTACCTTCAACTCAGACCTATCTCCTGAACTCCAGGCTCATTCCTCTGCCTGCCTATTTCCAATTCCACCTCGATGTCCAACAAGCATCTTGAAGCCATGTCCAAAACTAACTCCTGATCCCACCCCCAACCCAGTTTGCTCTTCTCACAGCCTTCCTCATCTCAGTTGAGAGCTCCTTCATCCTTCATGTGCTCAAGCCAAAAATCTAGGTGTCATTCTCAATTCCTCTCTCTTATACCACACAACTTATCTATCAGCTAATACTGTGGCTCTATTTTAGAACCATTTCAGCATCCAATCTCTTCCCCTTTCACCCTTACTGTTACCTCTCTGGTCCAAACTGACCCTCCATACATAATCCCTTACCAGAACTGATGCAATAGCAGTAATTGATATTTTGTGTCCCCACCCCTTACAGTGGGTTACCAACCCAGAAGCCAGAGTTATGCTTTTAAAGCAGAAGGCATGTGAGCTCACTGCTCTGCTAAGACTCTTACTCTGACTTGCCTTAGAGCCAAAGACATCCTTACAAGGGCCTAGAGGCCCTACAGTGTCCACCCTCTTCTCTTCCCCTGCTCCCTCCTCTCGAGCCATGCTACCTCTTGATGGTCTTGGAAAACACCAGGCTGGCATCCACGGCTGTCCTGAGCCTTATCTGTTCCTTCTATCTCTATTCTACCTGTCCCCAAGTATCTGTAGGGGAATAAGATACTTGTATGTATTGTATAGATAACTTGTATCTGTTGTGTCCCCAACTTCTTTATCTCCTTCAAGGCTTTCTTCACATGTCACCAACTCACAGAGGTCTTTCCCCAGCCACCTTATTTAAAACTGCAGCCTGAAGCCCAACCCCCAGCACTTTTGATCCCCTGACCAAGCTTAACACTTTGTCCACAGCACCTAGCACATTTTAATGAAATACCCACTTTCCTCATTTATCATGTTGACTATCTATCTTTCTTGACAGGCTCCAGGGAAGCCAAGCATGGCAAGTCCAAAAGAGTGCCAGCACACAGGGGGCACTCAGATACTTGTTAACGACTAAACAAGGATGAAGTTGGACATTATGCCTCTCAAAAGATTAACATTTCATTTCACTGTTCGAAAGATGATTCTACTTAAGATTCTGGAAATAAAGAATCTTTTTTTAGTAGAGTTTCACTCTTGTTGCCCAGGTTGGAGTTCAATGGCATGATCTCAGCTCACCGCAACCTCCACCTCCCAGGTTCAAGCGATTTCCCTGCCTCACCCTCCCCAGTAGCTGGGATTATAGGCATGCGCCACCATGCCCAGCTAATTTTGTATTTTTAGTGGAGACAGAGTTTCTCCATGTTGGTCAGGCTGGTCTCAAACTCCCGTGATCTCAGGTGATCCGCCTGCCTTAGCCTCCCAAAGTGCTGGGATTATACGCAAGAGCCACTGAGCCCAGCCAAATACAGAATTTTTTTTTTGAGACAGAATCTTGCGTCTTCCCCCAGGCTGAAGTACAATGGCACAATCTTGGCTCACCGCAACCTCTGCCTCCTGGGTTCAAGCGATTGTCCTGCCTTAGCTTCCCCAGTAGCTGGGATTACAGGCATGTGCCACCAGACTTGGTTAAATTTTGTATTTTTAGTAGAGACAGGGTTTCACCACGTTGGCCAGACTGGTCTCGAACTCCCAACCTCAAGTGATCTGCCTGCCTTGGCCTCCCGAACTGCTGGGATTACAGGCATGAACTACTGCTCCTGGCTCAAATACAGAATCTTAAATAAAATTAATGACTTCATCATTTCAAATAATACTCACAAACACCTGAACCCTAAAATCCTGGCTATGAGGGACTTGAGAAAAACATTTTATAATTCAGCAAAACACAGCAGTGACATCAGTGATCCTTGTCTGCTCTGAAGAATTCTTTCCAGTCATCCTTTATCTGTTTTGAAGATGATAACCAATGAGGCACAAATAACTAAATATTACCATCAAATTTTCTAAATATTTTTCTGCAACAGAGAAAGTTATCTGTAATGTGACAAAAATGTATTGCCACCTACATTTCCTAAGTATAAAAAGCAGTTACTGTCTTTTCTAGATGTCCATTCTTTGATGTACAGTGTATTACTGAATAAAAATGATACTTACACATCTTGAAATTCTTCTAGAGTTTTTTGTGGTGTAAACACATTTAACAAACTAATTATCTGAAAAGAGAAAATTAATTATACTTCAATACGTCAGATGACTACTTGATTACAAAAATTAGGTTTAATATTGTAATATACTAAAATTGGGGAAAAAATCACAGCAGAATTCATTAATCATGATTACTGCTTTTACCAATTACATGGCATTTAAAAAAGTTAAACATCAATTAAAGGAAAGACTACTTTTAATCAAATCACTTTTATGTGTCCCTAGTAACTTAATTATTACAGAATTTAAACACATAATGTATTTTTGAACATAAAAAAGTAGAAGTTATGGGTGAAAAAACACTAAATAAGAATGTGTTAACTCTGAAAACTTAAATACTATGTACGAATTTCTAAAAAGTTTTGAAATATGAAGGCTAAGCTCATATTTTTGGCGTGATAAAGTGAAAGGACTCATGGCATCATATTTTTACTTAAAGAGAGTTAAAGAGCTGATCCTGCTGCAGGCCTCTATCCTGGCACCCTGACAAGGTTTGGGTGTCCCCACCCAAATCTCATCTTGAATGGTAATCCCCATAATCCCTACATGTCTAGGGAGAGACCTGGTGGGAGGTGATTGGATCATGGGGGCAGTTTCCCCCATGCTGTTCTTGTGATGGTGAATGAGTTCTCATGAGATCTGATGGTTTTATAAGGAGCACTTCCCACTTTGCTCCTTACTTTTCTCTCTCCCGACGCCTTGTGAAGAAGGTGTCTGCCTCCCTTTCGTCTTCTGCCGTGATTAAGTTTCCTGAGGTCTTCCCAGCCATGCAGAACTATGAGTCAATTAAACCTCTTTCCTTCATAAATCACCCAGTCTCGGGTATTTCTTTATAGCAGTGTGGTAACGGACCCCATGATGTAAACAGCGAGTCCAATGGCTTAGGCATCAAACACATAACCTCAGTTATTTCAGATGACTGAGAGAAAGATGAATTATCCAGTATATAGGATTGGGGTGATTGGTTAGTTAAAGACAAAAATAAAACTGCATCCACATTTCAATCTTTATACCAAGATAAACTCAAAATGGAACAAAGTTTTAAATCGAAAACATGAAATGGTAAAACATCAGAATATAGATAAACATTTATATAATCCTGCTGTAGAAAAACCTTTGCTAAACATGACAGGAAACCTAAGAGATCTGATTATATTAAAACAAACAAAAAGGTCGGGCACAGTGGCTTATGCCTGTAATCCCAGCACTTTGGGAGGCAGAGGCAGGTAAGAGAGACCTCGATCACAAGGTCAGGAGATCGAGACCATCCTGGCTAACACGGTGAAACCCCATCTCTAATAAAAATACAAAAAAGTAGCTGGGCATGGTGGCACGCGCCTGTAGTCCCAGCTACTTGGGAGGCTGAGGCAGGAGAATTGTGTGAACCCAGGAGGCGGAGGTTGCAGTGAGCTGAGATTGTGCCACTGCACTCCAACCTGGGCAACAGAGTAAGACTCCATCTCAAACAAACAAACAAACAAAAAATAGGTGACAAAAAAATCAGTAGGTCAACAACATAAATAATGTCAAATGGAAAAAAAAAGTAAAGAGCAATAGTTTTAATATTGCAGAAGAGACCAGAAATCCAAAAGAAAAATGGACAAAGGCCATAAAAACTCAATTACAAAAAAAAACGAAAAACTCACAAATAAAAATAAAATATCATTTATCATCTATCAAATTGACAAAAGTAAAACAAAACAAAAACAAATCAGTATGTAGTGCTGGGGGATTATGAAGTAAAAGACATTCTCAGATATCGTTGTTTTTTTTTTGAGATGGAATTTCGCTCTTGACGCCCAGGCTGGAGTGCAATGGTGCCATCTTGGCTCACTGCAACCTCCACCTCCCAGGTTCAAGCAATTCTTCCTCATCAGCCTCCTAAGTACCTGGGATTACAGGCACCTGCCACCACACCCAGCTAATTTTTGTATTTTTAGTAGAGACAGGGTTTCACTACTTTGGCCAGGCTGCTCTGAAACTCCTAAGCTCAGGTGATCCACCCACCTTGGCCTCCCAAAATGCTGGGATTACAGGAGTGAGCCACCACGCCCGGCCAATACTTTTTTTTAAGAGATGGGGTCTTGTTTTGTTGCCCAGGTGTGCCTTAAATTCCTGGCTTCAAGCGACCTTCCTGCCTCAGCCCCACAAGTAGCTGGGATTTCAGACAGAAGTCAACGTGCCCAGGTTCTCAGATACTCTTAATGAAAATATCAAACTAACAGTTTTCCTTGAGATCAATTTGTCAGTATATATTAAACCAGAAGTGTGCATACTCTGACCCAGCAATGCTGGCCAAGAAATTAATCTGGACAAATGTGCAAAAATTCGGGAATAAGAATGTTCATTGCAGCACTGCTTATAATAGTGAGAAACAAAACAATCTATCCAATAACAGGAGGCTGGCAGTCTCTTAAATTATTGTGCATCTGTGCCAGGCAGTCATTTAAAAACTGGCTTATATCTATGTTCATTAAAGTATATGAGGTTTATCAATGTGGCACAAGGAGAAAAGCAAGATGAAGAATAACATGATCAATCTTGTTTATGTACTTGTACACACATATGCATAAGAATGCTCACCAAATTGTTCATGCTAGTAATGTGTGGGTGGTGGTATTTAGGAGTTTTTGCTTTTTAAAAATATATTGTTTGAATTTTTAAAAATAATATATATTTTTTGTAACCTGAAAAAAATTTAAATAGGTAAGTAAAATAAAGCATGCATTAGAGAAATAAATTAAAACCAACTCAAGGCACAGGCTCAAAAGAAAGAAGCTCAGGAGTTTAAGACCAGCCTGGGCAACATGATAAGACCCCACCTTTACAAAAAAATTTAAACATTAGCCAAGCATATGGCATATGCCTATAATCTCAGCTACTTGGGAGGCTTAGGTGGGAGAATCACAGCCTAGGTAAGAGAATGAGACCCTGTCTCAAAAAACCAAACCAAACAAAACAAAAAAACAACAACAAAAAACCCCAAAGCTCCTTCCAGATTTAACATTTTATAATTGCCATAACATGGCAAGGTTAAGGTAATGCTCACTTACCACCAGTAGAACATACAATGTACTTCAATGTGCTTGACTGAGCACAACTTCACTTTGTAGAAACATTATTTCTCCTTAAAATTTAGTGTTCTTTGATTTCTTTGGAGCAATAGCTACTCTAAATGTAACATCATCTAATAATATGTATTTGAGACTGAGATGTTATATACAAGGTAAAAAGCTACTTATAGAACATCTTTCCACAAAATATTTACTTGTTTCTCAGTCTGATAGGTCAATACTGTTCCTATTTTACAGAAACAGAATATCAATTGATACTCCTACTTTAGTTGAGTGACCTAAATTCCTATGCACCATAATGATGTCTCTTTCTAGCTTTAATTTCCTCAATGTTTATTAAGAATTTTATCAATAAAAATAATATGTTAATAGCCACTTTTACCCTCAGTTTATCCTAGGTCTGAACTCAATGTATCTCCAGAAGACCCTGAAGATTATCACATTATTGACAATATGAAAGTACACAGACAAAATATATACATAACTTACATTTTTGTGATTGACACATTTTAAGAGGACAAGTTCACGATAAGCTCTCTTTGCATGAGTTTGATTCTGAAAAGGACGGCTTAGTTTCTTGACTGCAACATTTATCCCAAGAACTGTATCAAATGCAGCACTAGAATTAGGAAACATAATACACAATCCATTAGAATGGTTTTGGATAATACAGCACTGCCAGAATGTACACTGAATATATTATCTTTTTAATGAGTAACAAGGAAAAATCTGCTTTTTCCATTCAAAGTACTTGCACATATGAAGAGCAGAGTGAGTTGGTGAAGATGACAGGATGGAGTGACAGTTAAGATGGGGTTCAGCAATCCTTCATAACCAAGTTTTCAGAGTTTAGATTACATTCAAAACCAGGTAATTTAATATAGAGTGCATAAAACCAGTCAAGAAATGAAATCTTCAGTTTAAACAGGATAAGAAGTTGGGAAAAAAGCCGCTGGTATCCCATCTTAAAATATACGTGTATATTTTAGAATATCACAATAGAGGAAATGGTCGAGTTCATGAGAAGAATACAATAAATCTAAATTTTCTCAGACAACAGCATCTAAAAAGAAAACAAGCCAAAATTTCAGTTTAGGGGGCTCAGTCACAATGGTGGAAAAACCATAGGAAAAGGACGACAAACTTTCTGAAAGGTTGACAGGTTTTGTGGAGCCCCAAGGGAGAATAGCTGAAGGTAGTTGTTCTCTAACCCTGAGGCAGAGGACGAGGAGTAAGTATGTGCAAGTGAGTAAAGGGGAAGTTATCTTGATCAGGCTTGTTTGTTTGAAGTTGTCCAGGACCTGACCTTTGAACATCCCCTCACCTGGAGAACAATAAATGTTAATTACCTGCAGACTGTGTTTGCTCCAGGCCTTTGGCATTGTGCCTGCACCGAATAAAAGAAAGCAGCTGCAGCTTCTGGGGCTGCTCTCTGGCCACTAGAGTCAGGCAGTCACCTAGCTGCTCTTACACTGCATACCTGTGTCTGAATACTCATTTCATCCGCTGGCCAGGGTCTGTGGGACAGACTTAGCATTTCAGTTCATGGTAAATGATGAAGATACAAAATCTGTAACATAAGCACCTGCTATATAAAGTCCTTTTAGAAATATCTCCTCCTACTATAGTAAGAATAAAATTTAGAGGCTGTGTTTCCAGCATCTCAAGTTTCCTGTTGATACTGTCTTCATTTTCCTCCAGAAAACAGACATGAAAAATCAAGTAGCCTGACTGCACATTTTTAGGTTTTAAACTGGTACTAAATAGTACCATGTGTGTTATTATTAACAGCTACTAAAGGCCACCTGAGAACCTAAGTACTGATTTAAATACTGTTTCTATTTCTTTATTCTATTGAGTTTACAACATTGTTTACATTTATTCTCTTCTATTAATGCTTTTTACCAAAAATCTTGAACTTACTTCAATCTATTTTGAAGTTGAAAGCTGAATGCTGTAGCATTTGGTTAAGAAGCTATCTTACTTTAATTCAGTTCATATTATGTGTATGTCTATATACGTATGTAAATCTACACGCTCATATGCAAATTGTGCCATTTATACAAATTATAAAATGATGAGGATACATCCATTTGTGAAACAAGTCATTAATATAAGCATACCCACATATGTATTTATATTTATATATTTCTCAGACTCAAGAATTTGAAAACAAGCCAGGTGTGGTGGCTCATGCCTATAATCCCAGCACTTGGGGAGGCCAAGGCTGGCAGAAGTTAAAGACCAGCCTGAGCAATATAGTGAAACCTGGTCTCTACAAAAAATACAAAGATTAGCCAAGTTGGTGGCACATGCCTGTAGTCTCAGTTATTCAGGGGACTGTGGTAGGAGCATTGCTTAAGACTAGGGGTCAAGACTGCAGTGAGCAGTGATAGGTGACAACCTGGGTGACAGAGTGAGACCCTGTTGCCCAAGGTCTCAAAAGAAAAAAAATAAAATTTGAAAACAGATACTCTTTTTTGGTCTCAAAAGTTTTTGTCCAAAATTTCAGTTAGACAGGAGGAATAAGGTCAGGAGGTCTACTGTGCAATATGTTAATAACAATGTATTATATTCTTGAAAATTGCTGAGAGTATATTTTAAGTGTTTTCATCACAAATTTTTAAAAAGTATGTGAGGTAATGCATATGTTAATTAGCTCAATTTAGCTAGTCTATAATGTATACATATTTCAGAACAATATGCTGGACATGATAAATATATACAATTTTTGTCATTTAAAAAAAGTTTTTGGCTAAAACGAGCCAAATGGACCACGTCTAAGCATCTGAGTAGGCATAAGCTTACCCAGTTCTAGCTCCAGCTCCATGCGCAAACACCTTCAATTATTCCTGGTTTTGGTTACTGTGGTCACTTAAAGAATATATTTTTATCAGTATGTCTTCATTTATCAACTTTAGAAATGATCTATTTATCCCATTATGAAAACTGAGTAGCCACTTCCTCAAAATCCCCAATACCTATTTTTTTTTTTTTGTTCTGCTTTTTGGGTTTTCCCTTGGTTACCTCTTTAAGTAATATGCCTAATCTTCATGCTTCATCAGCTGTGAAGGGAATGTCTTAACTCCTGCATATAGGAAAGGAGACTATTCCATCATTTCTCCTCCATTTATCATATATTTATAACTAAGCCTTCTGTGTTTCTTCTTCAGGATGAGTCTAGAAGTTGAAAATCAAGACATGGAGCATGGAAGTGTGTGTGTGTGTGTGTGTGTGTGTGTGTGCGCGCACATGTAAATATCATTAACTGTCAGAGCTTAAATTTCATTTTCTAAAGATCACATGGCTCTTGCTGCCACTCATCAGAGGGTGAGACTGTTTCCAAAATCAAGGAAAAAGGATTCTCTTTTCTTACATTTCATCAACTGCTCAAACATCATGTCCTTTTTGTTTTATAATTAGACCATGATTTTTTCTAGTTTCCCCCATTTCTAATAAATAATAATCTATTAGATTTTATTAGATTTATTATTTTTTACCAATAAAAAATACCAGCTTTAGCCTATCACTAGTATTTCCTAGCTTCATACATTATCTGTTGTTTGGCTTCTATTCCACATTATTTGCAGACACTCTTCTTAAGGCCTGCCATGCAGCCACCATCCTGGGATTTCTTTTTACAGCCCCTACTCCTTCTTGTATTACACTCTTGTATTGACTCTCTTGCTGGAGTACATCCTTAAGGAATTTCCTCAGAAAAAGTGCACGGAAGATAAGACACTATTGCTCTGCCTTCACCCTTGATAATGTTTTCTGAGTTCAAAATCAGTTTTCTGACCAGGCGCAGCAGCTCATGCCTGTAATCCAGCACTTTGGGAGGCCAAGGTCAGCAGATCATGACGTCAGGAGTTCAAGACCAGCCTGACCAACATGGTGAAACACTGTGTCTACCAAAAATAAAAAAATTAGCTGAGTGTGGTGGCATGCGCCTGTAATCCCAGCTATTTGGGAGGCTGAGGCAGGAGAATCACTTGAACCTGGGTGGCAAAGGCTGCAGTGAGCCAAGATCACACTATTGCACTCCAGCCTGGGTGACAAAGTGAGATTCCATCTCATAAAAAAAAAAAAAAAATCAGTTTTCTGTGAGAACTTTGAAGGCATTGTTCCACAGATTTCCACCCTGAGTACTGCTGGTGAGAAGGCTTATGCCTGATACTGTACTGATTCCTTTGCTTCTTTTTTTGTTTCCCAGCTCAATGATTTATCAGTCAAGTTCTCTCTGTATCCCAAAAGCCTCTCTCACACCCCCAACTAATTACTGTCTTTCCTGTCCATCAGTGATAACTGCTTCTGACATGTATGATAATCATCTTCTTTTTACCAGCTAAAAGATGCACCCTGGAGGCCCCAGTTTATTTTTGCCTGTTTTTTGAAATCTTCTGTGCCTGACTTCTTTGGCTCAATATTATGAGCCTCATCCATTGTTGCTGTATGTAGCTATAACTCATTCCATCATTGCTATACAATTCCTTTGTATAACTATATCATATTACATTGATAGATATTTCTATTGTTTTTGGTTTTCGAACAATTACAAAAAAAACATGGTCATCAATCTTACTGTACACAGCTTTGGGTCCCCTGGTCATGTGTTTCTGATGAGTAAACAACTAAGAGTGGAAATGTATCCATTGTATTTTAATAGGTAATGTTGAACTCTTTACCAAAGCAGTTCTACAAATTTGTAGATCTGCCAGCAGTGCATGAGGGGTCATATCTGAGAGCTGCCTCTGGGTGGTTCCACATCCTCACCAGCACTTGGTATCACCAACAGCTTAGCTTCTAACCATTCTGCTGAGTGTGTAGTGGTATTTCATCACAGTTTTAAATTGCACTGTCCTGATGAATAACAACATCGAGTACTTTATCCTGTTTATTGGTTATTTGGGTATCCTCCTGTGACAACCTATTGACTATTTGTCTGTCTTCTTGACTGTTCTTAACATATTCTGAACAAGAGATTTTTTTCTTCAGTCATGTATCTTCTCAAATTCAAAAGTTATCTTTGTAGTTTCTCGTATTTTTTGATAAACAAAATTTCTTATTTTTAATAAAATTTTATCAATCTTTTATGATAAATTTTTTTTTTTATTAGAGATGGGGGTCTCATTATGTTGGCCAAGCTGGTCTTGAACTCCTGGCCTCAAGTGATCCTCCTACCTTGGCCTCCCAAAGTAATGGAATTACAGGTGTGAGCCACCATACCCAGCAGATGTTTTCAATGTTATGTTTAAAGAAGTCCTTTCCTACTCCAAAGATCATGAAGAAATTCTCCTATATTAATCTTCAAAGAGCTTTACCGGTTTTACGTATTTACAGCAATTCAACTGAGGTTGATTTTTGTGTATAATATGAGGTTGGGTCAAATTTTACTTTTTTCCATATGAATATTCCTATGTCCATTTATTTAAAAGACTATCCTTTCCTCATTGCTCCACAAGGCCACCACTGTTGTAAGTCCAAAGCCCACATGTGCATGATTCTGTTTCAAAGTTCTTCATGTATTCCTTCAGGCCACTGTTTCTCCTTGTACCACACAACACCATCTTGATCACCAGTTTTCCAGTAAGTCTTCCCATCTGGCAGAGGGAGTCCTCC